CCAGAGTTTTGATGACATTATTATTATTATTATTATTATCATCATCATTATTACTATTATTATTATTTTAAATGTGGGGGGAATAAAATAAAGAATCTGCGGTAGTAGTAGTAGTAGTAGTAGTAGTAGTATATGTATATATATATAGGTGTACAGTTACATTGGCATACTTTAGTTAAACTTTGTTAAATGCTTCATTATTAGTAGGGGGCAGGTAATTCACAGACGATCTCTCTCTCTCTCTCTATCTCTCTATAATTAATATTTATTATAATTCATTCAAATAAATGTAATCTTCTCGCACTACTTTTTCTCTGTGTATGATTTATACTGGGCAGAATTCTAGATCTAACCTTATCTAACATTTAAATTTACTGTGACTATTAACCTTTCAGTCAAATTTTGCGCTGCAAACATCAATTACAGCTTTAACGTGTCAGTGCACATAAGTGACCGTGATATAAGAGTGATAAACCAGGGCCAGGTGTGTATTACACGATTCTAATGCATTAAATTGGATTATCTTCTACATAAATGCTAAATTCCACATGGACACTTTTACAGTGCTTCTTACAGACGATATAAATGCACAAAAGCTAACTAATTATGATCTTTTATTAAATCAGGTCTGTGATATAAGAGAAATAGCTGAACTATGCAGAGACGAGGACCTCTGGGACTAAAAATAAAGAACATTGATGTCGCAGTTTCCTAGTTTTATTTTAACAGTGTTTAAATTTTGCTCTTATTAATCTGTGTAACAATCTCAGCATTGTGTAGCCTATAATTACAGTGATTTGTCCCCCAAGACATTTCCTAAAACAGTTCCTAAACTGTGATAATAGTTAAAATATATTTACCATTCAATACATTTGCTGTAATAAAGTCATCAATATACATAATTGGGGGAAAAAAAGAATTATGAAAATGTCCATTAAAAGTGGACGTATTTCAAACACAGGGATGGTTCAACTTACCTTGATGTGTGTATGAGCAGATATAACCTGTGCACTGTACATGGGTCTTCTAAATGGTCTTCTGAAATAGCTTTTAGGGGGTATTTATACATGTACAAGACACGTCGCAGGACGACTATTGACAAGTCTATAAATATGTTGATAAATTTCGAGTGGTGTGAAAAAAAAGTTGTGACTTTTTGTGTGAGGGTGTGTTGTGTGTTAGGCTGTTATTTTTAATAATTACATTGTGGTACTGTTGAATTCTAGACTGTCAAACCTTACACTTTGTTACTTTTCCCTTATGATTTGTTTATTCATCAGCGCTATCGGTTATACCACTGCTAAACAGTAACTCCACTTCCCAGAATGCACCAAAACCTACAAACATTGCAGACAATAACTACACTTTCCAAACACAGACACGTTCACCATCCCCAGAGTTCTAATCAGAGACACTTGTTTCCAATTACACACACACTAACACTACTCCTTTTAAGAGACTCCCATTCAGTCATCAAATTGTGAAGTATATGCTTATTTGCCTTTTGTCTATTCCAATCCATCATACTGTGTCTGTTTATTCTGTTTTTTTTTACTTTGCTTCCGTTTACGACCTTGTTTCTTTGCCCTTCCCTGTTTGTACTGTTTGCCTGATCGCCTGACTTCTGCGTGTTCATGATTATTGACATTTGCCTTATCCTTTGGACTTCTTGTTGTTGTATTACACTGCCATACCTACATTTGCTTCTGTTTGTGCCTCCAAATCATGACAGAATACTTTGCCATGGATGGCTCATGGGAGAACACCACCAGCAGCTTGCCTGTCTGAGCGAACAGGTCACTCAACTTTCTCAGAGTACACCGGCAATCATGTAGACTCACACCCCGTTTCCCCGTTTACCAACGCCGGAGAAGTATGCAGATGATCCAGCGCAATGCAAGGATTTTCTTCTGTAATGCTTGTTGTTCTTCACCAGCTATGCAGGCATGTTGGAAGCATGCAAGATTACCTACTTCATGGAGCTGTTAACCCACAAAGCCCGGGCAACAGTGGTATGGGATTGAGGTGGCGAACCCAAATCCTTGTACGATCAGTTTATGGGGCTGTTCCAACATGTCTTCGATCACAATCCTGACAGCAAGGAAATGGGAGAAGAGCTCATGACCATTTCCCATGGCTCATGACGCGTACTAGAATATGCTCTTGAATTCCGGACAATCGCTGCGAACAGTGAGTGGAATGAAGCAAAATGAAAACTGTATTTCGCAATGGACTAAACAAGGAAGTAGTAATGAAACTCGCTTGCCATGACGAACACGTTACTCTTGACTCGCTCATCCACGTTACTATTGGTCTTGATCGCCTACTTCTGCGCTTCTGCATCCAGCCCATTGCGATGGAGCTGTCACAGCACTGAAAAACCTGGCGGAGCCTATTCAGCTGGGGTGTGCGTGGCTCAATGAAGCTGAAAGTGAGCCATGCTATTAGAGTTTAGCTGCTTTTACTACAGACCAGACACCCATCTCATCTGGCAGTGTCCTCTCAAGTTTTGTCGTGACACCAGGGAGAGCTGGGACTCTGCATCCCGCTCCCAAAGGGTAAGTCCATCCATATTATTCTCTCCTCAAGCCTTCATTTGACCAGTCATAGTAGAATGCTCAGGGAAAACCTCTGTCCTCACAGCACTAATTGACTGCGGAGTGACAGGGAACTTCATCGACCATGATACAGCACAGAAGCTCAACATCCCCGTCCAACACTTATTCCAACCACACAAGATCCAAGCCATCGATAGAGTGCCAATAGGGGGGATAGATTGATCTCATACTGGACTGAACCTCTTTCTCTTCAGACCAACACCCTGCATAGGGAATCCATGACCCTCTATGTTACTGTCTCAGCCCGACACCCAGTCATCCATGGACTTCCCTGGCTAGACCAACACAACCCCACAATCTCCTGGACTGGCAGGCAAATCACGTAATGGTCTCCATATTGTCAGGAGCAATGTTTTCCTTGGTGCCGTCCCCCTTCTAGCTACTACCACTCACTACTTCCTCACTTCACTTTGCTCTTCAGTAGGTGAATTACTGCTCAATGTGTTTAGATCTGGTGATTGACTTGTCCAGTCTAAAACCTTCCACTTTTTTCATGTGAACAAGTTTGGTTGGCAGTGTGTTTTGGTTCATTGTCTTGCTGCATGATGAAATTCCTCCAAATTCGATTAAACGCATTTTTCTGTAAATTTGCAGAAAATGTTTCTGAAATGGTCTTCACTTATATAGCGCTTTTACCCAATGCACTTTGCACTGTGTATCATTCATCCATTCACACATTCACTCACATACCAATGGTAGCGGAGCTGCCATGCAATGTGCTAGCTTGCCATCGGGATCAACTTGGGGTCCAGTGTCCTGCCCAAGGACACTTTGGTATGTGGAGTCATGTGGGCCGGGAATCAAACCGCCAACCCTAAGGTTAGTGGACTAACCTAGGTGATGAGACCACCTGAGCCACAGCCGAAAAAAATCAATCATAGCAATGAATTCTGAAGACTTCTGAATTCATTCTTCTGCTACAATCATGAGTTACATCATCAAGAAAGATTAGTGAGCCTGTTCCAGAGGCAGCCCTGCAAGTCCAAACCATGACACTACTTCCAGCTGTGTGACTGATGTGATTGTTTGTTTTCATCATGAGAAGATCCATTCTTTTTCCACAATTTCCATCAGTTTGGTAGAGGTTAATCTTGGTTCCTTTGGTGCCTCATCTCTTTATTTCTTTGTGAAATCCAGTTTGGCTTTCTGATTCTTACTGCTGTTTAGGGGTTTGAATCTTGTGGAATGGCCTCTATATTTCTGCCTTCTACCTTCAGCCCCGCCCAGTGGAGGTTGTTGGTCATGTAACTGACTGGTGACATGAAAATGAATCATATGTAAATAAATCACATGCATGAATATGAATCACATGCAAATGAATCACATGTAAATGAATCATATGAAAATGAATAAATTTGTAATAAACTGCCTGCTTTTTGGGTTTTTCTTCACAGCTCTATCATGTTTCTATCATTAATTGCAGCCATTTTCCTTGGCTGACCTGTTTCATGTCTAGTTGTTAGTAAGCCATGGCTTGAGTTCTTTTTCCGGACATTCCAAGTGCTGCATTAGCTCCGCCCAATGCTTCTGCAATGGCACATCTCCAAAAGCATGCCTCTGGGAATCTCCTGAGCATCCCGGGAGATGTACACTTAATCCAGCTGTGCCTTTATGGGAGAGGGTTTGTACACCAAGCACAAATAACCAGCCAGACCATGGATGCACTTCACCTGCACTTTATAAAATACCATTCCATAATTGAGCACAGAGACATTCTTTTCCACTCCAGATTTCAGTTCAAGTTATCTGTGATGCTTTTGCCACCCCACACCTCCAGCTATAGGTTGCTGCACTGAGTTAGGTCTACAATTCCAAGATTGAAATCCCAGTTCCAAGTGGACAAGGTGTTCTGGCTCATGGATGTCTGGCCACCGTTGATCTTTTCATTGAGGAGGATCTTGATGAACGCGTTTGTCGGGCAAAACCATTCTCCATACAAACTTTGATCACATTTATGGAGAATTGAGCAGATCCTTTCTGAATGGGGCAGCAGTTGAGGACAAGACCTGGGTGGTTATGGCAGCTGAAGCTGCATGGCAACTGGCATTAGGCTTCATACTGGTCTTACATTACATTGGTGTGTGCAGTTTTTAAACAGTCCCCTCCGGAGGATTTAGCCATTAATGGCACTGCGCAAATGCTCTTGCACAGGTATATTTTAGGATTAAGCGAGTAGGAAAGCATATGGGTGAGCAGGCGGAGATGAGATCCAATCTTTATAGGCCTTTGGGTTATTATTTGAGGAGAATAGGAGGTCGACACCTCCAGTCAGATGTGATTGGAGTGTGGCCACCAATCACATCTGTTTCCCGTTTGGGGATGATAGAAATGTATGTTTTTGGAATAAACTAATATTGAATATCCACATGGGCTATCATGGCTGGTGGTGGTAGCCCAGTGGTTAACACATCGGACCTCTGATTGGAAGGTCATGATTTCAAACCCCAGCCTCACCAAACTTTCACTGCTGGGCCCTACTGTTCAGTTATAATTGATATATATGTATAAATTAGATAAATGTAAGTCACTCTGGATAAGGGCATCTGCCAAATGCCATAAATGTAAACTTGTCTTTTTTTCATTTCCTCTGACATTCCATTCACAAACCGGCATTCATCCATGCACTTGACTATTCCCCCGGAATCATAGGCCCCGCTGCAATCTCTGCTGTTTTAGCAATTTGGGGACACACCTGTCCATGGCCCAAGTGGAAGCCTAGATACTGTACTTCCACCCATCCAATTGCATATTTCTTTGGGTTTGCTGTGAGAAAATCCAAACGGAATGTGACAAAATGGTGTAAACCAAATGGAGTGGAAAAGGCTATTTTCTCATGAGATATTGGAGTCAAGGGGATCTGCTAATATCCCAGTGTCGAATAAAAGCGAGCTGCACTTAATCGACTGAGCAGTTCATCAATCAAAGGCATTGGATTCGCATCAAATTTAAACACCATGCTGACTTTTCTAAAGTCCACACTGAACTAGATCATCCCATCTGCCTTAGAAACCAGGTCCACCAGACTGGACCAGTCATTGTGGGACTACTCTATTACACCCATATTGAGCATGGCTGTGAGCTCTTCCTGTACCACTTGTTTGTTGTTCATGCCACCCCTGGGGAATTTCAATGTGGTGTTCTATGAGATTAGTGTGACTGGGTAGAGGCGAAAACATATTGGAAAATTAAAACTTTGCCACCTCTGTAATTTAGAACGGCGAGAGGCTGTTTGCTAATATATAAATATATAGATAAATACTGTTTATGCCCATGGATTGTGTCATCTGTTTGGAGTTATTTGAATGCAGTAAGGTTATAGAATAAAAAATGTTGGAACACCACTTTAACATACCGAGCGAATAGTTAATTGTATTCAAAGTGTACCTTCTGCACTTTGCACTGTATGTATTAAGGATGCCCATGGTTTTAACCAGTGTGCGAGGGGAAAGGTAGAGAATTGAGGATAATTATTTGTGCTTAAATATTTCTTTTGACCAGAGAGGTAGTTCCTGGGTCTGGCATACCATCTCAAGTTTAACGTAATTTGTGCTGATACTAAACATATATCGGTAGATTTTCTACCTCTTGCACTAATGACCTATAGCATGCAGACTAACAGTAATATGCATCTAACACCGCATGAAATGCTTACGGATCGACGCATGTCTGTGTCTGTTTCTTATGGAGGAATACCACTGGAGTAATTGCAGATGGATCGAGAGCATATATGAGACAACTAACTATTATGTATGAAGCTATCTATTCACAGGAACAAAGCTGGGTGCATTGTTAGGAGTGAGGTGTTACCGCCTCAATGGGGGGAGGTGTCAGAGATGGGAGACCAGGAGCAGCGAGAGAATGACTGAAGCAGCAGTGGACTACGAAGCAGCAGCGGACTTCAAGGCAGCAACAGACTACAGGAACATGCGACCCAAGAGGATTTTCAGATTTTCATGTGATGTGTAACGAAGTGTGGTGCACTCAGGCATGAGAATAGTGCTGTTGAGCACATAAGTGCTGGCAAGGTGAGAATTTTTTCCTGACAAAAGGTTGGCTTTTCGCCCACCTCTGAATGTGAAGGTTTGGGGTGTTGTTTTTTTGGGGGAAGCAAGACTCTGCAGGTCCCGACAAATACAAAACTGAGGGCTGATAGGCCAAGTTGAGAAAGATAGGGACGAGTAGATCCAATATTCGTACTAACCACTCATTCTAACACTATTTAGGAGGTACATAGTTAATCAAAATGAAGAAAAAATAAAATAAAAATAAAATAAATAAATAAATAAAAATTAAGTTGGGGTTCAAAACAATATACTGTGCCTTGCGAAAATATTTGGCCCCCTTGAACTTTTCAACCTTTTGCCACATTTCAGGCTTCAAACATAAACATATAAAATTTTTATTTTTTGTGAAGAATCACCAACAAGTGGGACACAACTGTGAAGTGGAACGAAATCTATTGGATTTTTTAAACTTTTTTAACTAATAAAAAAATGAAAAGTGGGGCGTGCTAAATTATTCGGCTCCTTTACTTTCAGTGCAGCAAACTCACTCCAGAAGTTCAGCGAGGATCTCTGAATGATCCAATGTTGTCCTAAATGACTGATGGTGATAAATAGAATCCACCTGTGTGTAATCAAGTCTCTGTATAAATGCACCTGCTCTGTGATAGTCTCAGGGTTCTGTTGAAAGCGCAGAGAGCATCATGAAGACCAAGGAACACACCAGGCAGGTCCGTAATACTCTTGTGGAGAAGTTTAAAGCCGGATTTGGATACAAAAAGATTTCCCAAGCTTTAAACATCCCAAGGAGCACTGTACAAGCGATCGTTTTGAAATGGAAGGAGTATCAGACCACTGCAAATCTACCAAGACCTGGCCGTCCCTCTAAACTTTCAGCTCAGACAAGGAGAAGACTGATCAGAGATGCAGCCAAGAGGCCCATGATCACTCTGGATGAACTGCAGAGAACTACAGCTGAGGTGGGAGAGTCTGTCCATAGGACAACAATCAGTCGTACACTGCACAAATCTGGCCTTTATGGAAGAGTGGCAAGAAGAAAGCCATTTGTCAAAGATATCCATAAAAAGTCTCGTCTAAAGTTTGCCTCAAGCCACCTGGGAGACACACCAAACATGTGGAAGAAGGTGCTCTGGTCAGATGAAACCAAAATCGAACTTTTTGCCCACAATGCAAAACGATATGTTTGGCGTAGAAGCAACACAGCTCATCACCCTCAACACACCATCCCCACTGTCAAACATGGTGGTGGCAGCATCATGGTTTGGGCCTGCTTTTCTTCAGCAGGGACAGGGAAGATGGTTAAAATTGAGGGGAAGATGGATGCAGCCAAATACAGGACCATTCAGGATGAAAACCTGTTGGAGTCTGCAAAAGACCTGAAACTGGGATGGAGATTTATCTTCCAACAAGACAATGAACATACAGCAAAATCTACAAAGGGATGGTTCACAAATAAACGTATCCAGGTGTTAGAATGGCCAAGTCAAAGTCAAGACCTGAATCCAATCGAGAATCTGTGGAAAGACAAAACTCTTAAAACCCTCCCATCAAACTCACCAACCCGCTGGGCTGTTTGCAAGGAAGAATGGGCAAGAATTTCAGTCTCGCGATGTGCAAAACTGATAGAGACATACGCCAAGCGACTTGCAGCTGTAATCGCAGCAAAAGGTGGCTCTACAAAGTATTAACGCAAGGGGGCCGAATAATTTTGCACGCCCCACTTTTCATTTTTTTATTAGTTAAAAAAGTTTCAAAAATCCAATAGATTTTGTTCCACTTCACAATTGTGACCCACTTGTTGGTGATTCTTCACAAAAAATAAAAATGTTATATCTTTATGTTTGAAGTCTGAAATGTGGCAAAAGGTTGAAAAAAGTTCAAGGGGGCCGAATACTTTCGCAAGGCACTGTATATATATATATAAAAAATATAAATATAATATAAAAATATAATATAGAAATATAAAACAGATATGAAAGTAAATTATAAACCAGAAAAATAAGAATAAAGGTAAAAGAAACTTACTCATAATGCAGAGGATAAAGATTCTTGTCTCGCGGGAAAGGGTCGGGCGTGCTGTAGACACGACCCAAATAAAACACATATAGTGAGACTACTCCCCTCTGGCATAATAGGTCATAAGCCGTTTGTATCAAAAGCTGGGTTGAACATGGTATTTATACTCTAAAAGATTTGTATAATGATAAGCTCTCAAATTCTTTCAGATTCTAAAATATGAATTCTCTCTCCCAGGATTTAATAATTTTTTGTGATTGAGGTCTGTGCTGACATATCCTCACCATATGATAAATTGGATAGATTCTAATATGGCTTCTAGAGGTTTTGTTAGTACAATATATGAATCACTTCTGGTATGACAACATTCAAATATTCCTGTTATGGGAATATTCACTTAACACAGAGATCGATTGGGATACTGTCTGGGAAAATTATTGTATTACCTTAAAGAATCTGACTCATCAAATGATTTATTATAAATTAATAAATAGGGCATATGCCACTCCCTGATTGTTATATATATATATATATATATATATATATATATATATATATATATATATATATATATGTGTATATATATATATCGTATTTTCCGCATTATAAGGCGCACCTTCATTGAATGACCTATTTTAAAACTTTGTCCATATATGAGGCGCATAAGGCGGTTTATAAGGCGCATACAATAGACGCTACAGTAGAGGCTGGGGGTTACGTTATGCATCAATTAGATGGAGCTGCGCTAAAGGGAATGTCAACAAAACAGTCAGATAGGTCAGTTCAACTTTATTAATAGATTACAACCCAGCGTAGTTTAAGGTAAAACATGTAGTGCAATGTTAATATACCCCACATAGTGGGGGGGGGACTTTTCCTCAATTAAATAATAATAATAATCACAATATAGTAACACTCGAAATAATGCAAAGCGATAACAATATATCAATAACTCAACGTTGCTCAAACGTTAAAATCACACAACACACAAAATAAACACGTAAAGCTCACTTTACTAAGTTATTCCTCATCCACGAATCCCTGGAATTCTTCTTCTTCGGTGTCCGAATTAAACAGTTGGGCAAATACGGGATCCAACATGCCCGGCTCTGTCTCTTCGAAGTGGATGGAGAGATTACGTCTTTTCATAAACCGAAAGCACCAAGAAGGACCGCCTTTAAAGTCATTAATGCCAAGTTACGCTAGCGGTTGCATTAATTCGAATAGTGATTGTACTGACACTTATACCTGCTGCTCTCTGTTCAACAACCCACTGTTCCGAGTTTGTCCTCCAAACGTAGCCATCTCGCTTTATTCCCTCGGAAACTCTGTTTAGTCTTCTTTACTTGCGTAGGTCATCTTGTTGCTTCCTCCACTTTCGCACCATTGATTCGTTAATGTTAAATTCTCTTGCTGCT